AGTTGGAATGTATTAGAAGGTGATAATTTTTTGGGGTGAGTCAGGTGCAGTTTACTCCTTATGGTGTCACTTTAAAGTGACAGTTTGCTTTTCCATACTTTAAAGAAGTCATTTGCAGCAGATTAGGCCAAGATAATATGTCATTTCTTTTCTTTTTTTTTGGTACAGTGACTTTTTTGATGCTTCCAGCACTGTTCAATATTTTGCCTGTGGAATCATTCAATATTGCAATTCAAGGCTTGAATTTTTTCTTCAGTTCTTTCAGCTTGAGAAATGCCAAATGTGTTCTTCCCTTTTGATTTTCCAACTCCAAGTATTTGCATATTTATTATAATCCTTCACTTTGTCTTCTAGAGCAATGCTTTGAAATCTTCTTTTCATAATACATGAGTACATGTATTACAAAATTTTTGTAATACATAGTACATTAGGCCAATTAATGTGAAGCTATATTAAAATGTTTTCACTTTTCATTATTATTTTTGTGATTTGGGTGAAAATTTACAGAGAAAATTCACTTTCAATACAGCAGTTCACGTACACTTTGTCTCATGACATTGACCACAATTCACCACAATACAACAGCTCCCCTTCCACTTCCTCCTGACAGTCACCTCTTTCCTGTGTACATCCCTCCATGCACCCCTGCTCCCTGAGCTGTCTCCCTGTGCATAAACAGCCCTTCTTTCTCCCATGATTGTGCCTTCCAAGGTATCTGCGTCAGGTAAATGTTCAACTCCTATGCCTGTCTTTTGCTTGGCTAGAAGCTACAGGTGTGGGTTCAATTCCAGACCTGAAGGGCAGCTAGGGGCCATACATAGTCTCATTGGTTCCACCAGGCTTTATCAGACCAACAAACCTGGTCCCCCCCTTTTTTTTATCCAAATGATTTTGAGTTTTGTTCTACATTGTTATCCCTTTCTATCCAGGATCTCCTGCATAGATACCCCTCTGAGTGGTTGACCATGGTAGCTGGCCACCATCTAGTTCTTCTGGTCTCATAGTCATATAGGCTACAGATCACATGGTGTACCAGTCACTAGGACTAATTCTTTCCATGAATCTTTGGTTTTCTTCATTCTTCTTTGCTCTGGGCGAGGAGAGACCCATTGTTGCATCTAGATGGCTATTTGCAAGCTTTTAAGATCCCAGTTGCTACTTGCCAAAGTAGGAGGTGGAACAATGTTTTGTGTAGTATGTTATGCCAGTTGAGCTTGATGTCCCCTGTGACTATGGTCCCGAGCCCACAGGTTCAACTACTTGGTCCCTTTGGGTAGCTGGCTGTGACCAAGCAGTGACTACAACCTTGTCCCTTGTCAGCTCTACTGTACACCTGGGAATTCAGATCATACAAATACACTTATAGGACCACTGTCTGCCAACCCTATGCATGGTCTTGGGTACACTCCCTGCTTCATAGACATACCTAATAGTTCAGCCTGTCCATCCATCTGTCCACCTGTATACCCATGTTTGCCTTCACTGACAACGCAGTACTGTATGTGCAAAAGTGTTAATCTTTTTTGTCTGTACCTCCCATACATGTCTTCCTCTTCCTCAGTGCCACCGTGTTGCTCACTCCCATTTGGTGCATTGCCCTTCTCTTCACCCAAATCAATCTTTACGTCTCTAACAATGTTCCCTCTCCTCCCCTTTCACCCTTGGTAACCAACAAAGAAAATTTCCTTCCATAGATAAACCTTTCCTTGACTTTTACAATAATGGACTAATACAATATTTGTCCTTCTGTGATTGACTTATTTCACTCAGCGTAATGTCCTCCAAGTTCATCCACATTATGCGGTGTTTTGCAGATTCTAGGTAATGCTTTAGGGTTGCATAGTATTCCATTGTGTGTACGTACCATAGTTTGGTTATCCATTCCTCATTTGATGAACACCTAGGTTGTTTCCATCTTTTGGCTATTGTAAATAGTGCTGCGATGAACATGGGTGTGCATATGTTTGTTCTTGTCATGGCTCTCACTTCTTTAGGATATATACCTATTAATGGAATGGCTGGGTCAAATGGTATTTCTAAATCCAACTTTTGAAGGAATCGCC